AATCTAGGTGTTGCTGTGAAGGTATTTTGTAGATGTAATTAACATCTACCATTAGTTGACTTTAGTAAAGGAGATTATCCTTGATAATCCGAGTAGGTCTCATCTAATCAGTTGAAAGGCCTTAAGAGCAAAACTTGGGGTTTCCCTGAGGCAGAAGAAATTCTATCTGTGGATGGCAGCATAAGCTCCTGCCAGAGTTTCAGCTTGCCCTTCCTGATGGCCTACCCTTGGATTTTGGACTTGCCTAGCCAGCTGGCACAATCAATCCAATTCCTTGAAATAAATCTCTTTATGTACATACACATATCTATCTCCCACTTGCTCTATTTCTCTGGTAGAATCCTGACTGATATAGAGTATCCAGTTGGGCTTTTAATCCAATGACAAGCGTCCTTATAAGACACAGATGAGGAGAAGACAAATACAAAGGAGAGGGTCATAAGAAGACAGAGGCAGAGATTGTAGTGATGTAGCCACAAGCCAAGAAATGCCTAGATCCACTAGAAGCTGGAAGAAACAAGGAAGGATTCTCCCCTAGAGCCTTCAGAGGGACCATGGCCCTGCCAACACCTTGATTTCAGACTTCTGGCCTCCAGAACTGTATGAGAATAAATTTTTGCTATTTTAAGTCACCAAGTCCGTTGTCATTAGTTATGGCAGACCTAGGAAACTAGCACATATTTTTGTTACTGGGAAGTAGGGTACTGCTTCAATAAAAACCTAGAAATATGGGGCCGGCCCCGTGGCGTAGCGGTTAAGTGTGCGCGCTCCGCCGCTGGCGGCTCAGGTTCAGATCCCAGGCGCACACCGATGCACTGCTTGTCAGGCCATGCTGTGGCGGCGTCCCATATAAAGTAGAGGAAGATGGGCACGGATGTTAGTCCAGGGCCAGTCTTCCTCAGCAAAAAGAAGAGGATTGGCATGGATGTTAGCTCAGGGCTGATCTTCCTCACACACACAAAAAAAAACTAAAAATATGAAAGTGCCTTTGGCTTGGGATAATGTGTAGAGGCTGGAAGAATTTTGAGGTGTGTGATAGAAAAAGCCTAGATTGCCTTCAAGAGACTATTGGAAGAAATATGGACATTAAAGGCGCTGTTGGAGAGTTCAGAAGGAAATGAAGAAGACAGTAGAAGAAGCTTCTGTCATCTTAGAGAATACATATATCATCATGAACAGAATATTAATCGAAATATGAACATTAAAGGTGCTTCTGGTGAGGTTTCACACAAAAATGAGGCACACGTCATTGGAAACTGGAGGAAAGACTATCCTTGTTATATATAGTGGCAGAAAACTTGGTGGAATTGTGTTCTACAGTTGTATGGAAAGTAGAACTTGTAAGGAATGAACTTGGATATTTAGCTGAGAGATTTTCAAGTAAAGTACAGTAGTCCCCTCTTATCCACAGGGGATAAGTTCTAAGACCCCCAGTGGGTGCATGAAACTGCAGATAGTACCAAAACCTATGTATACTATGTTTTTTCCTACACATACATACCTATGATAAAGTTTAATTTATAAATTAGGCACAGGAAGAGATTAACAACAATAATAATAAAATAGAACAATTATAACAATATACTGTATTAAGAGTTACTGTAGATCTTAGCAACCTCAGGGTATGATTTCTTTTCTTTCCTTATTAAGTCGAGAACTTGCACCTTTTCACTTAAAGGAAGCACTTGACAGCTTCTCTGGCATATTCAAATTGCAAGTATCACTACACTTGCACTCTGGGACCATTATTAAGTAAAATAAGGGTAACCTGAACACAAGCACTGTGATACGGTGACAGTCAACCTGATAACCAAGATGGCTACTAAGTAACTAATGGGTGGGTAACGTACACAGCATGGATACTCTGGACTATAGGATGATTAACATCCTGGGCAGGATGGCGTGAGAGTTTATCATGCTATGCAGAATGGCACACAATTTAAAACTAATGAATTGTTTATTTCCGGAATTTTCCATTTAAATTTTCAGACTGCAGTTGACCACGGATAACTGAAACCATGGAAAGCAAAATCACGGATATGGGGGGACTACTGTACCGAAGGTGTGGCTGGTTTTGTCTTGTTGCTTATAGTAAAAGGTGAGACAAAAGAAGTACATTGAGTAAGAAACTATTAAGCAAAAAAGAACCAACCCAATGATTTGGTATATTCTCATCCTACCCATACTGTACAGAATGATAAAATTACAAAATTCACTATTGGGAACTAGTGCTACGGAGAAAAAGCCACAGGTATGGCTAGACAATCTTTTCCTAAAGATATTAGGTATGTGACTCATGGATCCACTGAACCATCTCAGCAGAATCCAGGAATAGAGAGGGGATTATCCAGTAAAGATCTGTGGGGTCCCTCTTGTCTAATGGGGACATACACAGGAGAGACAAAAGGCTTTTGAGAATGTTATATGCGTAGAACACCGCCAGCTTGAACTGAAAGGGACAGATACAGACAAAATGAGAGAAGGCTATCAGACTTCCAAAATTTTACAGGCAGGAAACAGGCTGATGATACTACCTAGCTGTAAACATGTACTACCCTGCAAGAAAAAGGAAGAATGACTTCAAGAGCAGAGCCTCTGGTACAGTCAGAGAGTAGAGGTGTGGGCCCAGAGGCAGAGGCCAGTGGAGCCACAGTAGGCAGTGCAGGGACTGGACGTGTTGCCATAGGTTCAGAAGACACAGCCACCATGGGCCCAAACGGCAGGACATCCAGCCACAGAGGATTATCTCCAGGCCTTGAAACCTAACGGAATTGCCCTGCTGGATTTCAAATTTGTTTGGGACCAGTGACCCTTTATTCCTTCCAATTTATCTCTTTTGGAATGAGAATGTCTATCTTATGCTTATCCCACCATTGTATCTTGGAAGCAGATAATGTGTCTTCTAGTTTCACAGATCCACAGATTAAGAGGAAGTTTGCCCCAGATGGATCATACCCAGAGTCTCATCCTACCTGTACCTGATTTAGATGATTTAAATAATAAGACCTGGGGCTTTGTGAGTTGATGATACTTAGATGAGATTTGGGGCCTAGAGTTGATGCTATAATGGGTTAAGACTTTGGCGGATGCTGGGATGTGGTGAATGTACTTTGCACATGGGATGGATGTGAATTTGGGGACCAGAGGATGAACTGTAATGGGCTAAATGGTGGCCCCCCAAAAATTGTCAATATGCTAACACCCAGACTCTGTGAATGTTACCTTATTTAGGACAAGGATCTTTGCAGATGTAGTTAAGGATCCTGAGTTGAGATCATCCTGGGTTACCTGGGTGGACCCTAAATCCACTGACAAGTGTCCTTATAACAGACAGAAGAGAAGGGAGTGATGCTGTGGTTCCAGGGCACCATTCAGGTCACCATCACATTGGCCAAGAGGAGCAGCATGGTCTTCATGGTGTTCGTGGCAGGTGATGATGGGCAGTCTACACATGGCTGCAAGTTGGGAAGATGAGAAAGTGACAGAAGCATCCTCAAACAGTTCTGTTGCTGTTAAAATCAATATCAAAAGATGCACTCACTAACAGTAGAAACATCAGTTGCAAATGGGAGCCAGTCAGAAAGTTTAGTCTCTGTTTCATCCCTCATTTGAACCCAATTATACTTCTGAAAACTCTCAGTCCAGATTCGTGATACGCCACCCACCTCTCCTGATACAAAGTCATATACTTAAACAGGACAAGAAAGTTCAAGCCATGTCACTCCCTCTCAGAAGCCTAGTCAATGTTCAAATCAGAGACCTACTCAGAATCTCACAGTCAGAGGGAAAAAACTAACCAAAACATTTGAAGAAAGGAAAGAAAAGTAAAAGAACAAAGAGAGATTAAGAAGGAAATTGAGGGCCGTCCCATGGCTTAGCGGTTAAGTGCGCGCGCTCCGCTGCTGGCGGCCTGGGTTCGGATCCCGGGTGCGCACTCGACGCACCGCTTCTCCGGCCATGCTGAGGCCGCGTCCCACATACAGCAACTGGAAGGTTGTGCAGCTGTGACATACAACTATCTGCTGGGGCTTTGGGGGGAAAAATAAATAAATAAAATCTTTAAAAAAAATAAAAAAAAAAAAAAGAAGGAAATTGAGGGGGCCAGCCCAGTGGCATAGCAGTTAAATGCGCGTGCTCTGCTTCGGTGGCCTGGGGTTCGCAAGTTCGGATCTCAGGTGCAGACCGATGCACCGCTTGTCAAGCCATGCTGTGGCGGCGTCCCATATAAAGTAGAGGAAGATGGGCACAGATGTTAGTCCAGGGCCAGTCTTCCTCAGCAAAAAGAGGAGGATTGGCAACAGATGTTAGCTCAGGGCTGATCTTCCTCAAAAAAAAAAAAAGGAAATTGAGGAGGAAAACTAGGAAAGAAATGTTGGATATTAAAAGAAAGCAAGAAGAGTCGACAAACAGGATGTAAGAGCAAAGAAACAGAAAACGCTGAAGATAGGGCAGCTCAAAGATATATAAAAGAGCAGATTGCACTGGACCATGCAGAAAGTGCTGCTCACTTTACAAGACAAAGGACAAAGTAGAAGCTGCTAAAGCTGCTGCTGTGCTGAAAACAGGCAGAAGTGGCAGAAGTAGAATTCCAGAGGGAATCTTATGCAAGAGAAAGAAACACTATTGCAATAATTCATTTCTGTCTTCCTGATGGTTCTTCCTTTATAAATCAGTTCCCTCTGGATGCTCCTCAAGAAAAAGCACGCAATTTGCTACATAGTTTACTGCACAGAAAGACCAACTACATCCATAGTACACTCTTCCGGTCGAGACGTTTGGAGACTGTTGGCCACAGTACTGTATCCATGCCCTGTCATCTGGATATTGATTAGCAATTTCTTATTGTGCTCCTCCTGCACAGACTTCTTTGATAACATCATCATCAAAACACTCAAATTGTGTACCACCTAGCAACTCAGAAAAAAAGAGAACCAGCTAGAAAAAAGTGCCTGAAAAGCATGGGGAAGACTTCAAAAAGGAAGGGAGATAGATTAAGGATTCAAGATGATGGTGAAGATGAAAACACTTGGAATGCAAATTCTATTCAACAGATGTAGTGAGACTAGCACAATATGTGCAATAATCATTGTTTTTCTTACTTTTTTTTTCTTTTGGTGAGGAAGATTAGCCCTGAGCTAACATCCGTTGCCAATCCTCCTCTTTTTGCTTGAGGAAGACTGTCCCTGAGCTAACATCTGTGCCCATCTTCCTCTATTTTATCTGTGGGATGCCTGCCACAGCATGGCTTGACAAGCGGTGCACAGGTCCACGCCCAGGCTCTGAACCTGCGAACCCCGGCCCGCAGAAGAGGAACGCACGAACTTAACCACTGCGCCACCAGGCCGGCCCCTCTCTTACAATTTAATTCAACTAAAATTCTACTGGGGAAGTAAGACTGCTTTATGTTTTCCAACTAGTCTATATTTTAAAGTCTATCTCTCATCCTGCTTAGTGGGTGTGGGTTAAAACCGTTTAACTCAGAAAAGTCAGGAAATAAAATAACTAACTGGCTGCGAAGTCCCTACATATGGTAACCAACTGTTAGAAATCTAAAGGTCTGACACAACTACTGTCCATCAGTTTTCTTATACAGTATTTCATGTGCCCAGTATCCCTACACTCTCAGATGGCATGTTTCGTTCAGAGATATTTTGCTCTAAAACTCTTAAGCTCACACAAAGTCACTGGTACATCACTGAGTAATATGACACTGGGTCAGATGCATTTTAATTAAGCAATCAGATAATTATTTATGTGTTTTTTGTGTGTGTGAGGAAGATCAGCCCTGAGCTAACACCCATGCTAATCCTCCTCTTTTTGCTGAGGAAGACCGGCTCTGAGCTAAGATCTATTGCCAATCCTCCTCCTTTTTTTTTTCTTTCCCCCAAAGCCCCAGTAGATAGTTGTATGTCATAGCTGCACATCCTTCTAGTTGCTGTGTGTGGGACACGGCCCCAGCATGGCCAGAGAAGCGGTGCGTCGGTGCGCGCCCAGGATCCAAACCCGGGCCGCCAGTAGCGGAGCACACGCACTTAACCACTAAGCCATGGGGCCGGCCCTAATTATTTATGTTTATCCTTTCTCTTATCACTCATCAACTGCAAGCAAAATCTTGTAGTTTTTAATCCTACTTAAATATTGAATGAAAAATCTTTTCAAAAAGAAAAATAGCCATAGGAAACCTGTAATAGCACTTATGACAAGGTTATAACTAAAGATACTGTTTCCATCATCCATATGAAGATCTATCAAAAGATTTCTTGACCATCAAGTACCAGGAAATCTTTATTATAGAGGAATTACTGATTTCTCTGTGGGTGCATTGTTGTTTTTGTTTTTTTTTTGTTTTTTTTTATTTTATTTATTTATTGTGAGGAAGATCAGCCCTGAGCTAACATCCATGCTAATCCTCCTCTTTTTGCTGAGGAAGACCGGCTCTGAGCTAACATCTATTGCCAGTCCTCCTCGTTTTTTTTTCCCCCAAAGCCCCAGTAGATAGTTGTATGTCATAGTTGCACATCCTTCTAGTTGCTGTATGTGGGACGTGGCCTCAGCATGGCCGGAGAAGCAGTGCGTCAGTGCGCCCCCGGGATCCGAACCCGGGCCTCCAGTAGCGGAGCACGCGCACTTAACCACTAAGCCAGGGGGCCGGCCCTCTGTGGGTGCATTGTAATTCATGTGTCTGATTGCACTTCTTACTCTGCTATGTCTTCACAGAATATCACAGATAAATCTAGACTTCAAAGTTTTCAGCTGTGTAGGATTGTTGACCAGCATGCCTACATTCTAAAACTTGTGTTGGTATTTTCTTCTTTTTATTTCCTTTTATCCTAATATTTATCTGTTCATACTTAGAAGCTTCCTAAAAACCACAGGAAAATGACAGCGACAAGTAGATAAACAAACAAATACAAACTGACTGGGGATGTGACCATTTCTAATTCTTCTTTGGAAGATCTGGAAGGAAGATTCAGGGAGGGGTTGAGTACTGATGATAAGGAAAAAGCTGCCATGCATGGCCAGAATCATCAGCCTCCAAATAGTAGTAACATGTAGAATATGAAGAAGAAGATTCTTCACTGTCATCCACTGAATTCCTTACAATTTAGTGATCCCTCTCCTGGGACACAAAAATTCAATTTCTAGAAAAATATCTAACAAATAATGATGGTTGTACATAAAGAAATAAGTCGAGGAATTTCACCACCAAATTGTCAATTATAATGAAAACCTACTGCCATTGCAAATGTTCAAAGGATAGAATGCTATGTAACCACTAAAATTATGTACAAAATCATTTCTGGACACGGAAAAATACTTATGTAACACTCCTAATGTTTCTTTTTTTTTTAGAAAAAGCAACCATTCTTATTCGCTTTACTTTGTGGGGGATCAGAATTGGCCACCCCAAAATGTGTCTCTTTGGCTTGATTATTTTTAGACTATTTTAGATTATTAGAGACTTTGAAAGAAACTTTGACCTTCCCCCTAACTGACTAAAAGAATTTAAGATAGAAAGCTTGTCCCCAGGACAGGCCATCACCATAGATAACTCTGGGTAAAGCCCATTCTTATCAAAGTTCTGTCTACCAAACATTTGCTTTTCCATCTCCATGTGAATTGTCTTCCTCCCCTTTGAAGTCCCAAACCACTACCCCCAACATCCTCCTTTGTCTTTAGCTGAAGATGGCATTTAAGGTGGCGGGATTCGGACATTCTGGTGAGCTACTCAGCTTTCTTGGGTTCCTCTCATGTATAGATGTTATAAAGTATTGTCTGATTTTCTCCTATTATTGTCTCATGTCAATTTAATTCTTAGACCAGCCAGAAGGACCCAGAGGGTAGAGGAATTGTCTTCCTCCCCTACAACTTTATCCTCCCATTAATTTTTATATTATAGGATAAACCAAGAAAGTAATTATGTTAATGTCATTATGATTCCTCTACCAAAAAAGATACATAAGTATAATATCAAAGAAGTAGAAGTTCTGTAACTTTAATCTAAATTGGAAATAAGCTCTGTATTTTTTTTCTCCTAAGAAAAAAAGGCTGACTTCTGCTTCTGGGAAAATAAAGTAAATATACTTTTCCCTATTCCTCCTGCTAAGTACAACTAAAAACCCTGTACACTATATATAAAACAAGGAAGAGAAGACTCTGCCAGTTGGAGAGAAGGCAGACAAGCAAGGGACCTCAAAACCTGAGGAACATTATAGCAGTGACTCCCTTGAGTTTTCTTTTTACCTCATATATCCCAGAGTAGGTGCTAGAGAAGCTGGCAACCCAAAAATGCCAATGGGCACAGACAAAAACAGCTCCAAAAAAGTCTGCTTTTTTTAGTCAAAGGACTAGGAAAGGGACAACGCAGCAAGACAGAAAACTTTTAATAATAACCACTTTACTCCAGCCAAGCATCACGTAAGAAAATGTGGGTCCCAACTCCATCCCATCAGCAAAAGCCAAGTGGAGAGCATACACATCCACTCTTGTCGGGCTGTAACAAGGTGCTATACCCCCTACAACACTGGCGTGGTATTAGAAAAGACCAAGTGGGGAGCCAAGGTTCATGCCTTCTGGGCAATAATGAGCCTCCTCACTCAGTGCTATCAGTGGAGAAACCATGTGGAGCCTGGACTTCCACCCCAAATCAGTAGTAACGAGGCATCCTTCTACCCTGCTGGAGTTAGTGTCAGAGAAGGCCTAGTGGAGAATCAGAACTTCCACCAGTCACCTCAAATATAGCAATATAGGCAGGTTGAAGGGAAAAGTATGGAAAAAGATATGTCATGCAAACATCAACCAAAAGAAAGCAAAAGTATTGTCAACTATACCTCAAAAAAGCTAGAAAAAAAGAAAGCAGAAGTAGCTATATTAATATCAGATAAAGTAGACTTCAGAGAAAAAAATTACCAGAGACAGAGAGGGACATATAATGATAAAAAAGTCAATCCATCAAGAAAGACAAAGCAATCCTAAATGTGTACACAGCAAACACAGAAGCAAAAGATGACAAAACTGAAAAGAGAAACAGACAAATTATAGTTGGAAACTTCAACACCCCTTCTCTCAACAATTCACAGAACAACTAAAAAGAAAATGAGCAAGAATACTGAAGAACTCAATAACACAACGATGGAACATGATCTAGATTTATAGAAAACACCACCCAAAAACAGTAGAGTACACATTCCTTTCAAGTGTCCATGGAACATACACCATAAACAAACCTCAACAATTTTATAAGAATTGAAATCATATAGGTGTTTTCTCTGACCACTCTGGAGTCAAACTAGAAATCAATAACAGAAAGTTAACAGGAAAACCTCCAAACACTTGGAAACTAAACAACACACTTCTAAATAATCCATGCTTCAAAGAGGAAGTCTCAGAGGAAACAAAAAATACAATGAGCTGAATGAAAATGAAATTACATTTATAATTTGTGGAATTATAAATTCCTAAAGCAGTGCTGAGAGGAAAATATATAGCACTAAATGCATATATTTGAAAGAGGAAAGTCTCAAATCAAAAATCTAAGGCGCCACCCTCAAAAACCTAGAAAAAAAGACCGTATTGGGGATATGTTGTTTAAGGGTACAAACTCGGAACTAGTAGATAAACAGGTCCTGGAGCACTAACACACAGCACAGTGACTACAGCCAACCACACTGTATTACAAACTTCAAAGGTGCTAAGAGACTAGATCTTAATTGTTCCCACCACAAAAAAGAAATGATAACTATGTGACGTAATAGAGGTGTTAGCTGACACTACGGTGGTCATCATATTGCAATATATAAATGTATCAAATCATGGGCTGGCCCCGTGGTTTAGCGGTTAAGTGCACGCACTCCGCTGCTGGCAGCCCGGGTTTGGATCCCGGGTGCGCACCAACGCACCGCTTCTCCGGCCATGCTGAGGCCGCATCCCACATACAGCAACTAGAAGGATGTGCAGCTATGACATACAACTATCTACTGGGGCTTTGGGGGAAAAAATAAATAAATAAATAAAATTATAAAATAAATAAATGTATCAAATCAATACATTGTACACCTTAAACTTACACAATGTTATGTCAATTATATTTCAATTTTT